GCTGAGCTGGGATTGGTGGAAAGTTTGGCAGAGGAGGCTCCCGCCGCGAGCCTTTCCAACCCCTCAGCTGTTCAGTCACGGCTTCAGCGGCCGCGGGCAGCCTGGTTTTCTCTGATAATAACAAAAATCCCTAATTTAGGGATATAAAAAAAGTAGCCCCAAAGCCACATTTTTCCATGAGTAAAACGAAACCCCTCTACTATCTATAGACCTATAGACACATATAAAGATCTATAGATATACATAAAGATCTATATCTATAGATGGCTATAGCTGTATAGATATCTTTATCTATAGCTATAGATGGATATAGATCTTTATATCTTTATCTATAGATTGATAGCTATATAGATATCGGCAGATCTATAGATAAAGATCTATATATCTACAGCTATAGATAAAGATCTAGATCTATATATAGATTTATCTAGATATGTAGATCTAGATCTATATAGAGATTTTTATAGATTTATTTATATATAGATATAGATATAGATACAGATCTATATATTAGTGGTGTTTTGTTTTACTCATATATATCTATAGATATTTTTCCATATCTATAGATAGATATAGATATGGAAACATATATAGATATATATAGATACATCTACATGTATCTATATAGATTGATTGCATCTATCGATCTATCTATATGTAGATAGACATATAGATAGATACAATCAATCTATATAGATATATATAGATATGTGTAGATATATCTATATCTATATATCTATCTATATCTACCTATCAATACCGATATAGATATATAGATATAGTGGTGTTTCATTTTACTTGTGGAAAAATGTGGATTTGAGGTTACCTTTTTATATCCAAAAACTGGGGATTTTTGTTTAATCAGAGAAAACCAGGATCCCTGCTCATCAGTGTCCTACTTCATTAATGCCCTGATCCCATCAGAGAAGCCACTTGTGCCCTTACTAGCAGGCAGCAGGGAACCACTGCATTGCAGAAGTTCAGGGCAGCCCAAGGACAGCCTTTCCTCACCCCTCTGTCTGTACCGGTTAGGACCCATACCTCAGGGATACTGGTGCTGATGTGATGCTAGATAGAAAAAAATAAAAGTGACTTTTTCAAGTGCCGTGTCTGTTCTGAAAATGTAGGAGAGAAGCCAGGCTCCAACGCCCACCACCCTGACACCACAGCTTCATCGTGGGTGGCCTGGGAACGGCGTGATTTGCAAGAATGAAAAGTCCTGCATATTTCACATGTTGATGATTTAAAGAGACAAAAAAAATAAGGCCAAATCAGGCTCTGGGCATTAATTGTCCCTTTGTCACATCAATAAACATTTAAAGCACCTGTCTTGCTTTTAGTTGATCTAATAAATTATATCAGATTTACCCAAAGAACGTTGTCTGCCTATGTCCTTAGACCAACACAGCTACAACCTATATCCCTGCCCTATGCCTGGCCTCCCAGGGGCAGGGAGCATATTGGGAAGACCCTTTGTCCTGCCAACTAACCCTGATTTTGTTTGTGCAAGGGTTGGCTCTTTGCCTGCAATCCCTTTAAAATTTCTCCTATGTCCGAGGGCAACGTTTCTGTTCATTTGATCTCTTACAACTCTGTTTTGTCTCTGTTCTCTCTCTCAGAGTGAAGTTACTAAGGGCACTTCAAACAGGAGCACCCTCATATTAAAACTTCTTAACTCATGCCAAGTGCCCTCTGGGCATCTCAGAGTTCCAGGTGAGGATTAACTCTGAGCCATACTACCTGCCTCTCGCTAGGGTAATTTAAGTCTGCTCCATAAAGGTAAAATGAGCAATCTGCAGTCTTTCAGCATCCCAGGCTGCATTGTTCCCAGCCTTCCTCTCATTGGGATAGAGCCCAGGTGTCCTGGCTCCTAGCCTTGTGCCTGCTCACCAGCCCTCTCATGACAAGTTAGAGCTGTGCTGGCAAGGAAAGATATTAACCCTCAATGTGCAACTGCTCACAACACATTCTTATTTTAACACTGCTTAACATTCTAGCGATTTAGTATGATTTAAGTGTAACATGCAACTTCACCCTTATGTTATGCTCAAATATGTTGCACAAACATATTCTGTGGAGGAGAAGCTGGATAAAAAAGGTAGGAAGTTATTTGACCCTTGCTATCTAAGGCCTCCTACTAAGGCCTATGGGAGTCAATGGCAGGCTTCTAACTGCAAATTGGACTCAGTCATATGAGTCTATGCCAAGCAGACCTTGAAAAATCCAGGCTTTAATTTGCTTCTGTGTGCACATGTATTTTTACCTTGACCTGTTGCAGGAATGCAAACCCTTTTTTCCTAATTCCCAGAAAAAATGGCTTATATACAAAAATCACTTATTCACTCTACTAGCAAGCACCTTCTACTAGCAAGCATCTTCCTCATGCACATTCCCTCTTAGACAATGAATGGTACATGGATCCCGTAGAATAAATAATCTGTAATAATACATACACATACTATCCTAATGCATATGTAGAATGGCTAAATTTATTTTGCACAGGCAACTTTCTTCCTGGTATTTCCTTCCTTTTGAAAGCTTGACTTTGCAATCCTAATCTTTTAAAATGTAGGACTCAATGCTTATATTCTAAATTTCCCTTTCAACAAATCTGAAAAAAAATCACAAATTACATGCAAGTATGGCAAATCCTTCTGGATTGCCATACATGCACAGTGGGACTCCAGCAGTTAGGCTCACAGTTTCCACATGTTATTACAGGTACCAGATAATACTGATTGCACTAGCAGGCTATTTTCTATATGGGCCTGACAGCAGAAAGAATCAATATGGTTGCCACTGATTTCTGCAACTACTTGATAGATAAAAACAACATTAGAAAGTAGAAAATGCAGGTGCCATTTCTTACACTCAGGGAAGAGAGTGAAGGTCTAATGATCACAAGCAAAAGAGCCACATGCATGGATCTGGCATTTTCAGTCTGAAAGACAGGGTGGCTAATTGAATTTGATTTATACTTGTGCCAGAGTGGAGACATACGGTGTAATCCTAGCCCAGGGGTTTTCAACCTTTTTGGGACAGTGTCCCCTCAGCAGCCAGTCAAGAAGGCAAGAGTCCCCTAGCAGCCAGACAAGCGAGAGCAAGGGGTCTCCCAGTGACCGATCAGCAACCGGGGGAGGAGGGGAGGGATGTTACCCTGTGGCTAATGGCAGCAGCAGAAGTGCCAGCATAACCCCAGTTGAAAACCCTTGTCCCAGCCCACTAGAGCTCCTATATGCCCCTCTACTTCTGCACAAGGGTATAATGAAAGACCATACGGATGCTACTGAAAACCTGTACACCTGTACTTGGCTCTCCTCTCGCATCCTACAGCATAGGGACAAGAGTCGGTCTACCCATTTGTACTGAAAGGTAATGACCAATTTGTACTGGAAGGTAATGATCAGAGCAACCTTGACTCCGGCAGGTCTAGGCTGAGAGAGGCCCACAGCCAACCACATAAAGCTGCTAGAAATTGGAACAGGTCTCTTCTACTGCTCTAGTTTATGCTAGAAGATACACTGTTCCCTAAAATGGTTCAAACTGCAGGAGGTGCAAAGGTGGCTTAAAGCTACTTTGCTCAGTGCAGAATCTCTTATTTCGATTTCTAGGCCTGCCCTATATGACCGTATCTAATCTTTACTTTCCACTATCTCTAAAACAGGAAATACCACTTGTCTACCTCTCAAAGCAGGTTTATGCAATTAGACCTGTGCCATGAAGAATGCCCAGTGAAGTTTACACATTAAACTACACATTAAAATCTTCAGAACTGAAGTTATCTTTGTGTAAACAGAACACACAGATACTTCATCATCACCAAGCCTATAATAAGCTCCTCTGACCAAAAAAGTCAGTGGCAATTTTCAGAGGTTTATTATTTGGCCAAATTTAGATGTCATATTTAAGGGATCAAACAAAAGTCACCTTTTGATCTCCTGTCTATCCTCCTGCAGTTTTAAGATCCTGCTCTAGTCCCTGAAAATGCTAAAGCTCTCCAAAGGAATGACTGAGAAGAAGATTTTAAGGCCTGAAGTTATGAAAACCAATCTCTCTACTTTACCTCAATACTGCATTTGACACCAGTACCAGGAGTGCATCTCATCCACTTGCTTTTACTCAGCATGCACCAAAGCCTGGAAATTAGGCAGAGTAGCCAGCTTAAAACACAGTCCTCAACATATGCCCCAGGATCACCCTCAGGCTCTGTCTCAAGCCAGCTTTTTGTTGCATGCTCCTGGCCACACTAAATTGATTCCACTGTTTAATTTCTGGGTTTTAGTACACACTAAGCAGGAAACAGTGGGTATGAATGTTCCCTCTAAGGTGTAGCAATCCATAAGCACGCTGCTTCGGTCCGTTCCCAAATTGGTTTTGCCTCCCCCTTTCAGTGTGCACCGCTTCGGTCTGCCCCACAGTATAACAACAAAAGATGATAACTATACCTTTTTATTTACCAGAGTGACTCTCATCTACCTTTTGCTGTTTTCCAAACAGAATATACAGTGTCCAGGTTAATAGCCTTTCCTGAGGCTAAATGAAGTTTAATTTTCATTGCTTGTCCAGATTACCAACTTCTAACGATTTCTAGATTTTGTTTTTATTGCATTCATGAGGCTAAACCCTCTCTCACAATCTGCACTAGATACCTGAAAATTGGCACAGATGTCAACAAGTAACAACACTTCACTAAATTGTTCCTGTTGTAGTATGTAGATGACCATGCCTTCAAAGGTCTTTATTGCCCCCGTTTTCATTTTCTCACTAACAGTTAATTTAAAGTCCATATATTGCTTGCATAGGTCCTTCTTAAAAGTTTCTACAGATTTGTTTAGCAAGGTGCTATATCTTGTTGCCAATGTTTTCATCTCCTCATGCCCAAATGCAAAATCATTCCTGTTTGATAGAGGAAAAAGAATCCTTATCGAAAATTGACCATTCTTTCAACTCGCCTTCTGGAAATCTGTTGTCCATGTGTAACAT